AGTGCGCCGCGGTACAGGAACTTATGTTGCCTGTACCCGGCGGACAGGAAGTGCTCTCTCTCTCTCTCACTTGTGCCGCCTTATGGATGCGCCGGCGGAGCACACCCTCCCTCCCTCCGGCGACCTATGGCCGCGTGCCCACAGAGGGGGCGCGGCGTTCGCCATCACTGTGCTATACTGTATGAAGCTGAGTGAGGCTGGGTGAGGCCAGTATAAATGTCTATTCTGCACAAGGTACAGACAAGTCTTTATAAGCCTTCCCCCGCCCTGCAGAGGTCAGTCTATGCAGAGCCCTTGCCGAGTGACGATGGATTATTATTTTTTGCGCTTTTTTTTTTTGTTAAGTGCATCTGTTATTATGGATTTTTATTTGGCCTTTTTTGGGGCTGAAAAAATAAGATTTTATTAAAGGACACGGAGGCTCATATTGTGCTATCTCTTTCTTTATTATACCTCAGCAGCAAAGAAAAAATGAAACCAAACTAGACTAAGTACTCAAAGGGTTAACATAGTCTGCTATCCTTAACCAATAGGAACAGTCCATCTATCCATAACCACCCATGTGACCTCTCCTCTCCCTCTTTCTTTGCTGCTGCCTCAGCTAAGTATCACCTAATTTTAGCTCTCTTAAATTATGTTCTTACTGTTGGATAATTAGATTGGTACTAATGTTTATGTAATTGTTCTTTCATAGTCTTTTAGATTTTACCTCTAAAGTTGTATATTCTCTGTAGAATTTGTATTTCCTGTATCTGTGGGGAGTGCTGGAAGGTTAGAGTCCTGAGGGTAGCCTTTAGGTACCTTAGATGTAGGACTAACGGTATTTAGCCTGCTCTTGCTTCTATGTTTGGGAGATGAACAGCCTCCCTCCCTCCCTTCCCCTCCCCGTCGGGTAGTTTATTACCCATGCTCCGCTTGATGTCGGGCGGTCAACAGCCAATCTCCGCGGTGGCTGTTGCCGGAGCGGACATTCTCGTCTCGAGACTGCACGCGCATGCGCAGCCGCATAGCGCGGCGGCCATTTTAAGTGCCGCCTTCCCTGCAGTTTTGCCGCGCTTTTGCCCCGACACTCCCAGCCTCCTGAAGGGCGGGAGCGTTCGGATTGGGTGTGGGCTGGGGCTGTCAGCTTGCTAGTGTCCCCTTACTGCCATTCCGGGGGGAACACTAGGTAAGCTGACAGCTTGTTTGTGCCTTGCCTTATCACCCTTTTAGCAACAGACCTTTTCTGTTTTTTTAAAGCTACATAGTGGTTCAATCTCACTGGGGATTAAAGTGGCAGGATTGTGGGTGCCTGCAACCACATTACACTCCCAAATAAAATAAAAATAAAAAAGGGTTCCTTAAAGGGCCAGCAGTATAAAACCACTTAACTCAGTTGCCATAGATTGGCACAGCAGTACTATTTAACTATGCAGCACCCCAAGGATCAGGAGCGGATCACTGTGACTACAGGCAGTATGGGCACCACAACTCGTGGGTCCCTGGTTCCACAGCCCATCTCCTCTCAAGGGGAGGAGGTGGCGTCAGTGGAACAACTGAACTCAGAAGAGTTCCATTCTCTGCTAGATGCAACCATTGCAAAATCGGTCACACAAGCAATCTACACAGCGATGGGGGCGATGTCAGATAACCTGACCTAATCCATCAGTAACGCCATCATGGCGTCTGGCCACAACCCCAAGGACCCCTGCTCCAAGGCCCAAGATGATAAGCCTGCTCCCCTCAGCGGTCGCAAGGCTACTGAAAAGACCCATCATATGGGCAAACAAACCTCCAAAACACACATGACGGACAGGTTGCGTCCTGTCACTGATGAGGACGTGGGGCCCCCACGTAAGAGAGCCTCCCACCGGGCAAACGGTGCGGTCAAGGAAATGGGCGAAAGCCGGGAGAGAAATATCCGACTCTGATTCGGACAAAGAGGAGGTATTGAGTGAGTCTGAAGAAATGGGCTCGCTGGAATCGGAGAACTCTTCTCCGGAGCACAGCTTTCCTGGCAGGCCAACCACCAAGGGTCAAGAAAAAGCGGATGATTCTGTTATATTGGATCTGCAAGGGGAACCCCTATTTAACCCTGACGACCTTCAACATCCTAGGTCGACAAAATGGTTCCCAGCAGACTACGTGGCCCAATATATAGCGGCCAGAATTAGAAAACCCCTAGACAAGGCCACCAGGAATAAGTTGAGGGCTGAATGCCCACGCCCAACAGTTCCGGATATGGCGTGCGCCACACCAGAACTGGACCCAAAGATTGCCCAATTTTTGGGAAAATCGTCTGGAAAGCCAAGAAAGGGCTAGATTATTCTCTACGCCACTGCCAAGATAAAGTACTTGACTCATTGGGCCCCAGCGCAAAAATCTTTGACATGGTCGAGGAGACGCTTTCAAGTGGCACGCAAGTGGACCTCTTGACTATACGAGAGTGGGCACAACGTTTTATATGTCTTACTGGCAATTCCAATGCTGTGCTTTGTACAGAGAGGCACAAGGTGGTCCTCATGAAAATTGACCTGAAACTGGTCAACATGGCCATTACTGAACCTGGGCCGCAGGCGAAAGGTCTCCTTTTCGGGGACAATTTTGTCAAGGAATTAGGCAATTATGTAAATACATTTACGGCCCTGGACAAGGTGCAAACAAACTTGAAGCGGGTGTTCACCCCAAAGGTTTTTGGGGGGCTGGCAGACAACGGGGCCGTCTGTCCAGCCGGTCATCAAGGGGCTCCTATCGGGGCTACCCAGATTTCCACAGACGGAGATCAGGAACCCTTCACCATTCTTTCCTGTCAGGGGCAGGCCATGGCAGCCCAGAGGACGCAGAGGCGCTACGTACGGCCGACGACCTTATGGTGAGTACCCTTCCTGCTTCCCGGTATTGTACTTCCTATGTAGGGGGCAGACTATCCCATTTTATCGGGGCATGGCACAGGCTCACATCCGATGCTTGGGTTCTCAGCACTGTTGTAGGGTATCAAATAGAATTTGTACAAACCCCAGCCCAACCGGCAGCCCCTCGGCCAATGGTGTTTACCCCACGGGACAGGGGACTCGTGTCACAGGAAATCAGAGCATTAAAGGAGAAGGGCACGATTTATCAAGTCGTATATCATTCTCCAGGTTTCCTGAGCAACCTATTTCTGGTCCCCAAAAAGGGCGGCGGGGTAAGACCGGTGATAAACCTACACCCACTCAATGCGTACATACGGTGTCACCACTTCAAAATGGAGGGGATCCATTGTCTGCGAGACCTCCTCAGGCTGGGAGACTGGATGGTCAAATTGGACCTCCAGGATGCCTATCTTACCATCCCCATCGCGGAGGAATGTCGCCACCTCCTCCAGTTCCAGTGGAACGAGCAGATGTGGAGGTACAGGTGCCTCCCTTTCGGCCTGTCTTCCGCTCCGTGGTGCTTTATGAAGCTATTGAAACCGGTGGTGGCACTGCTACGCAGCAGAGGAGTGCGCATGATCATTTATTTGGACGATATATTGATCACGGCGCAGGAGGTAAGCCTACCCCAACAACACTTATCGTGGGCAATACAGCTTTTGCGCAACCTAGGTTTTCTCATCAATTGGGAGAAGTTGGTGCTGATCCCCTCACAGTCCATGGAATTCCTAGGGTTCACTATTGAAGTGGTCCAGAGAACACTGAATTTACCGCAGGAGAAGATCAAGACCATCAAAATGGAGATCCGCAGAACGTTACGTCGCCCGACGCTAACGGTGCGACAGCTAGCCAGGATAATTGGACTCCTCTCAGCATCCATTCAGGCAATCTTCCCAGGACCTCTACACTACAGGGCCCTACAGAGATTGAAAACTACACATCTACAATCAGGTCGATCTTATTCAGACTCCGTACAACTCGATCCCACTGCCAAGGCGGAACTCGAGTGGTGGATGCAACACATGGGGGCGTGGAATGGCAAAGCGATCTTCGGCAGCGCCCCGGATTGCATAATAGAATCCGATGCCAGCACGCAGGGCTGGGGAGCGCGTTGTGGTCATATTTCCACAGACGGAAGATGGTCCTAATCGGAAAGAACGCTGCATATGAACGGCTTGGAGTTTATGGCGGGATCATTCGCACTGAGAAGTCTTCTGGGAGCCAGGACACATTGCTCCATCATTTTATGAATGGACAACATATCAGCGGTACAATACATCAACCGCCTAGGCGGCACCAAATCCAAACTTTTGGCGGATTTAGCCACGGAATTCTGGCAGTTTTGCCTGGATTGCAACATCTCAGTACGGGCCGAATACATCCCGGGCGAATACATCCCTCAAATACGGTGGCGGATTGGAATTCCAGATACCTGCGGGACAACAGCGATTGGTGACTGAATCGTGAAGTATTCCTGCGATTACAAACGCTGTGGGGCCCGATGCACATGGATCTGTTTGCGTCTCATTTGAATACGCACCTACCAGAGTTCTTCAGCTGGAGACCAGACCCGGAAGCATGGCCGAGGAAGAGACTCTATGCATTCCCACCGTTCGCTCTGCTAGCACGAACGTTGGTCCATCTCGATCGCTCGCAGACGACTCTGGTCCTAATAACACCATTCTGGACAACACAGCCATGGTTCCCTTCCCTCATGGAGATGTCTATAGACCTCCCCAGATTACTGCCCGCGGACCCTCATCTCTTGACAGATCCGGAAGGGAACTCACACCCGTTATTGATGCAAGGCAACTCAGGCTGCTAGCGTGGCTCCTTTCAGGGGACCCTGGGTCGTACCAGAGGTTCCACGGACGACGCTGGAACTACTGGAGGGAGCCTGGGCCCCAGGAACTCGGAGTTCCTACAGACGGGCATGGAACATCTGGAGTGGTTTGTGCATGGAACAACAAGTGGATCCCGTATGTACTCCTTTGAACAGCATTCTACTTTTCTTGACATGGTTATTCGAGCAACGTCTAGCATACCGGACTATTAATGGCTATAGGTCAGCGATTTCGGCTGGACATCATGGGTTAGAATGTGCACCGATAGGGAGACACGTAATGGTGTGCAGACTACTACGTGGTGTTCGATTTGCAAGACCCCCACAACCCAGATATGCGTCAACATGGGACGTAAATTTAGTCTTGAATTTGCTAGAACAATGGCCACAGAACTCCGACCTTACACTGAAACAATTATCAGCGAAACTATCAATGCTCTTCTGCTTGATATCATGTAAGAGAGTGTCCGAGGTGCAAGCATTGGATGTGGATGCACGCTCGTTCACTCCATCGGGAGTGACGTTTAACATTTCCAGGCGTACAAAAACCGCAATTTCTACGGTATCTTATCCAGCTTTCCCTCACAATGTAAATCTATGCCCTATAGTTTGTCTCAAAGAGTATGAGGAACGAACACAGACATTACGAGACCCTAGTAGACATTAACTATTTATAGCCATCAAGGCACCGCATCACCTAGTATTGTTGGTTACGATAGCCCGATGGGTGAAATGGGTAATGGCCTCCGCAAATATTGATACCTCCATGTACAAGGCACACTCCACTAGGGGAGCTATTGCGACCAAAGCATTTAAGTTAGGCTGCAGATTGGAAGATCTGTTACGTACAGCGGATTGGTCACGGGAGTCCACTTTTAAAGAATATTACTTTCGCCCTACAGAACACGTCACATCGTCGGTGCTCAGCTTTAAACTAGCACAATATGAGCCTCCGTGTCCTTTGATAAAATTACCAGATTTTACTAATTTCATGACGTAAAGTCATGATTTTATAAAGGACACGGAGGCGAGTATTGGCCCACCTGAGAAGGATCACGGAGATAACATGGTAAGTACCGCAAAGTTGGTATTAGATAAAAAAAGAGATTTAAACTCCCACCCAGTAAGTTGTATTGATAAGATAATTATGGTGAGGTTGGTATGACGTTTAGGGAATAGTAGGATAGAGACATGTGACACAAGGAAGTCTACAGCAGGTAAGGTAGTCTGTAGAGGTTGTCAAGTATAATAAGGAATATTTGTGGAGTATGTAACATACAGTCACTAGACCACACGTTACCATATTTCTTTTCTCTCCCGTTTCAGCTTAACGACTTCTAGTCGACTAAATAAATGATCGGTTATCGTCTCCGTTCGATTGGTTAATGTTCATGTTTTGTTATGGAGAAGATAATGAAGCACCGGTTATGATTCACACTATCTACGCAAGGTTCTAAAATTTCGGCTTCGGCAGGATCAAAGAAAGAGGGAGAGGAGAGGTCACATGGGTGGTTATGAATAGATGGACTGTTCCTATTGGTTAAGGATAGCAGACTATGTTAACCCTTTGAGTACTTAGTCTAGTTTGGTTTCTTTAATGTTTATACGTTTTTTCTTTGCTGCTGAGGTATAATAAAGAAAGAGATAGCACAATACTCGCCTCCGTGTCCTTTATAAAATCATGACTTTACGTAATGTAATTAGTAAAATCTGGTAATCTTAGCATAAAGAAAACATAAAATGGTAAGTTTAATTTTTTTAAGGTAGTTAGTTAAATGGTCCCCCCTCATTACTTTTAGAGTTAGGGGGGTAGGTAGGGATTCATTTCTTTGGGGAGGGGTGACTAGGGGTTTGGGGACTTAATGGGGTTCATATTTTTATTTAGGGCCCCCCCGGCACTCAGGGGTGGGGGCCAGGAGGGAGGACATTAGGTCCCCCCCTAAATAGTGTTTAGGGCCACCACTCAGGTTATTAGGTCATTCGGTCCTCTCACCCTCATTCTAATTTAGGGCCCCCACCCACCGCTCAGGGGTGGGGGACAGGTGGGAGGACATTATGTCTCCCCCTAATTAGTTCAGAAATTCCAAAGTTCCGAAGTGTCAATGTGCAGAAGTGCTGAAGTTACCGAAGATCCGAAGTGCCGAATTGCCGAAGTCCCGAATTTCGGAATGCTGAACTGAACCGAAAATTTTTCCCATACACACTTCATTTTAATAAATGTTGGCTGTGGACAGGCGGTTGTGCTTGTCTGTGATAACGCCCCCTGCCATGCTAAACACACTTTCAGACAATACACTGGCTGCAGGGCAGGCCAGCACCTCAATGGTATAAAGGGCAAACTCAGGCCATGTGCCCAATTTGGAGACCCAGAAATTGAATGGGGGAGACCCATCAGTCAGTACATGTAGGCGTGTGCACACGTACTGTTCCACTATGTTGCTGAAATGCTGCTTCCTGCTAAGACGTTCCATATCAGCGGGTGGTTCTGTTTGTTGTGGTGTGCTGACAAAGCTCTCCCACATTTCGGCCATGCTAACCCAGCCTTCTGAGGTTTTGGCGGTGCCCCAGCTGTGTTGGCGACCTCTTACTCCTCATCTGCCTTCGCCTTGTGCTTCCACTGAGCCCCCGGTGTCAGTTGGGAATGTCTTCAGCAGCGCGTCTACCAGCATGCGCTTGTAGTCGCGCATCTTCCAATCACACTCCAGTGAGGGAATTAAGGGCGGGGATCCAGCAGGGTGGCCACCCAGTAATCAGCACAAGTTAGAATGTGGACAATTCGGCAGTCATTGCGCAGGCCCTTTGGTGACTCTAGATAACCTTGGGCCGATTGCACGTCCCCGTGACGGCGATGACGCATTCAGATGTCTGCCCTATCAATTTTTGATGGTACTTTCTGCACCTACCATGGTGACCATGGGTAACGGGGAATCAGGGTTCGATTCCGGAGAGGGAGCCTGAGAAACAGCTACCACTTCCAAGGAAAGCAGCAGGTGCTCAGATTATCCACTCCCGATGAGGTAGTGATGAAAAATAATGATACAGGACTCTTTCGAGGCCCTGTAATTGGAATGAGTACACTTTAAATCCTTTAACGAGGATCTATTGGAGGGTCTGGTGCAGAGTGACTGACCCGTGCGTGCTGCAGCTGAAACTCCACTGTCACCTGCTGCTGCTTGCACAGTCTCTCCAGCATGGGCAAGGTGGAGTTCCACCTTGTGGGCACGTCACATATGAGGTGGTGAGCGGGAAGGCCGAAGTTACGCTGCAGCACAGAGAGATGAGCAGCAGCAGGGTGAGAACGCTGAAAGCGCACACAGACAGCCCGCACTTTTTGCAGCAGCTCTGATATATCTGGGTAGTTTTTCAGGAATTTCTTCACCACCAAATTCAGCACATGCACCAGGCAAAGGATGTGCGTTAAACCGGCTAGGCCCAGAGCTGCTGAGCTGAGTTTTATTGGACTGCAAAAAATGCACCGCAGGCCGCAAATGTTCTATTTAGCACAAAAAAGTGTGATTTTTTTAAACCAACAATGTAAGAGTAGTATTTAACGGTTTTATTAGACTGCAAGAAATGCACTGCAGGCCACAAATGTACTATTTAGCACCAAAACAAATGTAAATTTTTCAAAGTGCGATGTAACCACAGTACTTGATAGTTCTATTTGATGCTCAGATATGAAGTGCACACCCCAAATTTACTTTTTAGCACCAAAAAAAATTTGAATTTTTCAAAGTGCGATGTAACCACAGTATTTGACGGTTCTATTTGACTCTCAGAAATAAAGTACATGCCCCAAATTAACTTTTTAGAACAAAAAACAATATGAATTTGTCAAACTGCAATGTCACAGCAGTATTTAAAAATGCCTAGATGTTGCCCACTGAGCTACCAGAACAGGATTAAAGCAATGTGCCTGGCACACATTAGTAGGCATGGCTTCTAAGGGCACACAAGACAAACGCTTGTTGATTGGTTGCCCTGCAGCTTTTCAAAACGCGCCATTAAATCGCCGAACACAGAATTCAAACCCGAACTGTTACTGAAATGTCCGGGCTCGGGTTCGGGGTGAAAAAATCTTAATATTCGGTACGAACCCGAACTTTATAGTTCAGGTTCGCTCATCTCTAGTGCTTATATTTAGTTTATGTCAATTCGTTCTAATACATCTTAGACGTTCATATAAATAATGTATTTCATACATGAATTTACAGTTTGATAAATTGAATCTACTATGTTCCTTTTCACAAGGTAAAAATGCATTTGAACACCTTTCCTGTTATTCCCCCGTTCGTGTGATTTAAATCCAATTTTTTGGATTTTCTCCAAATCAATAAAATAATATCAATATATTTAATACTCGCATGTTTAGTTTAGGTTAAAGAATATGTTTTGTTTTCTTTTTCCTTTCTTCTCTTTTTTTTCTTTTCTTTTCTCTCTCCCTTTTTTGCCTCTCTTTTCGCCTCTCCCTTCAAAAGTAGGATTATAGGTTTGCGCCTCGGAGTCCAGGAATTGTTATATTTTCAATTTCATTCTATCATAAATAGGTTGGTTAAAAAAATTATATACAAATATATGGCGAAAGAATAAAGTGATAACCACTATATCCAGACTCCAGGGGAAGGTCACCTAAATTGTGCTCTATGGGAAACAGGGCATAACCCTTATTTGTATTTTAGAGGCATAAACAAAACAAGGGGACTCCGTGAGAAAGAACACAGTAAGATAAAGGACAGAGTGTAAACGAGGAGTAGTAAATCCCTACCTTTATTATTACTAATTAAAAACAGGAAGAATAAAGTTTACAATAATGTTTGTACACTATGGGAGGATAAATACCAGAAAGAACTGGTGCAGAGCAGGGCAAACCTAAACTAGAGGTTCCTGAAAAAGATTTAGGTATCAGTACGCCTCTTAAGGAAAATTTCAAATATTACCCTGCAACCTTAACACCAATTGCGTGTTAGTAATACCTTCCGTTCAATGTAAAAACAATAGTTTTTTGGTTTTTTCCCATTTACTATTCTTCATCAAACTTATCACAGTTTATTTTACTGGTATCTACTTTTCTTCTAGTAACACAGTGGTTATACTTTCATCTAATAAAGTATATGTAATTTCATTTAGCACATTGGTCGTTATTACGGTCTATCACTAATAAAAAAAAAAAAAAAAAAAAGTTATGAAGTAACTGTGACGAGAGCAATCTCGCCACATTGCATTGGAGAAGCCCGGTTGCCTGCCTGCTGCCTTTAGACTATGGCCCCATGTTGAAACGCTGGATTTTCCCCTGCAAAGACATGAAAGCCGGGTCATTTGGCGCTTGCCCTGTTTGAGCGGTGATACCCCAGATAGCTATGCCATGGAGCCCATTCGTATAATGAAAGACTATGGGAAAGACTTTGGCTCCATGGCAATTGAACTGTATGTGTGTGCTCTGAGCGCCATTCAGTAATAATGTGCGCTCAGATCTGAGCTATCTGGGGATATGTTGAATGTACCTGTTTTGTGCAATGGGTGCACAGTTATATGTTTTTATGTATTTTATTGTCTTTTGCTGCCATGTGTTCAATGGAGTTTTGCCTCTGTGCTTGGAGATAATAGGATTACTTCCCAATTATCTCCAGGATAGAAGACTCAGTGGAACTGGTTTTGGGCAGAAAAGCCATGCTTCCTTTGGTCACAAAGGACTACGATCTATCTTTTGAACCATTGGACCAATATGTATGAATTTGACGTATGTTTGTAGTTGGAGTATGCTGATTCTGAAAATGTACGTTATATGTAAATGTGATGCATACTTTTCAAGTTATGAATAATGTGGAAAAATGTTATTTCTCTGCTTGTTCTAATTACATTACCCATTGTGTAAGGTAATTGAATCACTGACAGAGGGGAGGATTTTGTGTGGGAGTGTCTGAGTGTATTGTATGTGTTTATTGGTTGTGTTCCAAAACCCTGTGGGTGGTACTAATGTGTAAGAATGTGTACATAAGCACAATAAACCCACAGCTCTGACTGTTCACTGCTTGACCCTCAACACGGAGCTTTATCTCGTTCTTGGGGGGATTTATTGTATGCTGTTCCAGTTTGACTGCTAGGAGTGTAAACCTATTCGTTTGTTTTTTCCTATTCGGCTGTTTACAGCATTCATATGGTTTCCTGTTCAGTGGATTGGTGTTCTGCAGTAGCTGTGCCTGTGTCTCTGGAAGGAAAGATCTACTAAATGGCGGTTTAACCCTTTTATGCTGACGGTGCCGTTACAATTGGTGTTAGCAGTGGGATCGTTCCTACAGCCAGATGGACAGCTACAGGAGACACCATTCCGTGGATTTTACAATTTGAGGGCAACGCATGTCCCAGTACAGCGACCCTGACAGCACCAATATGGAACCAGCAGTGGAGTAGAGCTACTCTAGGAGAGAGTTCGATAACATGATGGAATTGCGGCTGAATTTCTTTGGACCCAATCCAGCTGAGAAATACGTGCGGTCCATGACGGACCGGGTGTTCAAGAATCTGCAAGACCGGGCAGAAAGAGAAGGTCAGCTGGCACGTTGGAAGGAACTCCAGCGACAGGTACTGCAGGGAATTGGGAGTCCAGTCTCCATTCCCCAGTGGCAGTGTGATATGCAGGGAATTGGGAGCCCAGTCTCCATTCCCCAGTGGCAGGCTGAGTTACAAGGGGCAGAGACAAGTGGTCCTGTCCCCCAGCGGCAGTGTACTTTGCAGGGAGAGGAGAGCAGCGTCCTCCCTCCCCAGCGGCAGGGTGAGCTACAGGGATGCTGGGCGGTCGGCTCAGATCCCCAGCGGCAGTATGATTTATTGGGAATTGGGAGCCCAGTCTCCATTCCCCAGCGGCAGTACGATTTGTTGGAAATTGGGAGCCCAGTCTCCATTCCCCAGCGGCAGAGTGTCCTACTGGGAATAGAGAGCCCGGTCTCCTTTCCCCAGCAGCAGGACTCTGTATTGGGAGCAAAGACAGTCGGTCTCCCTCCCCCACGGCTGCAAGTATGTATGGGAGAGGAGCTTGTTACCCCCTCTCCCCAGCGGCAGCCTAATGTACCAGGGGGAGACAGTAAGCCCCAAAACTGTGCAGCCCCATGTGTGTGCTCTGAGCGCCATTCAGTAATAATGTGCACTCAGATCTGAGCTATCTGGGGATATGTTGAATGTACCTGTTTTGTGCAATGGCTGCACAGTTATATGTTTGTATGTATTTTATTGTCTTTTGCTGCCATGTGTTCAATGGAGTTTTGCCTCTGTGCTTGGAGATAATTGGATTACTTCCCAATTATCTCCAGAATAGAAGACTCTGTGGAACTGGTTTTGGGCAGAAAAGCCATGCTTCCTTTGATCACAAAGGACTACAATCTATCTTTTGAACCATTGGACCAATATGTATGAATTTGACGTATGTTTGTATTTGGAGTATGCCGATTCCGATACTAATGTGTAAGAATGTGTACATAAGCACAATAAACCCACAGCTCTGACTGTTCACTGCTTGACCCACAACACGGAGCTGTGTCTCGTTCTTGGGGGGATTTATTGTATGCTGTTCCAGTTTGACTGCTAGGAGTGTAAACCTATTCGTATGGTTTTTCCTATTCGGCTGTTTACAGCATTCGTATGGTTTCCTGTTCGGCGGATCGGTGTTCTGCAGTAGCTGTGCCTGTGTCTCTGAAAGTGAAGATCTACTAAACGGCGGTTTAACCCTTTTATGCTGAGGGTGCCGTTACTGTAACCATTTAAATTTCTGGCCAATTAGGTTATACATTTCATAGGCTTCTTCACTTTGGTCAAGTGGACCCACAGAGCCAACTCCCATCCTCACGCTCAGAGGTACAAAGCCCAACTGCCCAACGTGGGGTTAGAGCCCTTTATTGTATTATAGTAAGGGCCACAACTATCACAGCCAATCTATCTTAAATCTTGTAATTGTCACCGATAGGCCAACACCCCGCCACTTACATCTGTGACATAAAAAAAGCCCAAACAAGCCAAATCATAGACAAAGCCTCTC